TGGACTTCAACTCCCAGAATTGTTGGGGGGGGAATTCTGGGAGTTGAAGTCCACACATCTTAAAGTTGCTGAGGATGGGAAACACTGCTTTAGGGCTACCAGATGTCACTGATAGAGTTCAGCTAGCTCCTAACTGAAAGAGTTAGTTTTCTATATCTGTTTGCTGCCATCTAGTGCTGTTTTCTTTTCTTTTGTGCCTTCGAGTCAGTCTTGGCTCCTGGTGACTGCCTGGACTAGTCCCTGCAGTTTTCTTGACAAGATTTCAGAAGTGGTTTGCCATTGCCTCCTTCCTCGGACTGAGAGAGAGTGACCGGCCCAAGATCACCCAGCTGGCTTTACGCCTAAGGCGGGACTAGAACTCACGGTGTCCCATTTCTAGCCTGGTGCCTTAACCACTACACCAAACTGGCTCTCTCAAATCATTTAGATTTGTGGAAATAAAATGGGGAGAGGGCTGTCTGTCATCTGCAGAAAGGAGCTGCGACACTTACATTAATGAGTATATGAAAACTGATACCTTTTAGTGTGCTGTATTAAGACTGATCACCACCACAGCAATGACACTGTTGGTCTGGAATGATGGGAATTATGGTCCAAACACCCCTGGGGGGCATCAGATTGAGAGGGGAGTTGATTTGGCTTGTCCTGCTCCTGATTCATAAGTAAGGTGTGTTAGTCAATTCTCTGTTTGTTGGATCCAGAGGGGCAGAGCTGACAAATACTTAGTGAACACTAATGTGATCATGCTGTCCCCATGCTGGGGTTTATTTGTTGGTAAGCATGCACTGAATTTGGCAATATATTTAACTGAAAAGAAGCAAGAATATATAGGATAATAGTGTCTTATGCTTTCTACGCATAATGTGTAAGTCTTGTAGTTTTGTTAAAACAAGAAGTATTTCATGCCAAGATGAGTAGTCCTAGTTAAAATGTCATGCATAACAATGTTAGAATAAGGGCCAATAAGACATGCTGTTAAATGTACACATGTATTAAATGTGTCTGGTTTTTTTTTAAACAAGATTTAGGAAAATCAGAATTAAGACAATGTCCCTGAAATTCAATTAAAATTAAATTAATCGTTCACCTCTGCACTATTCCATTTCCTCTGAGATGGTTTGCTGATTTAGTTTAATGCTGATGCATACACATTTATTTGTGCCGTGTTGCTCTGTCCTTTGAAATAAATGTTGCAGCCCGTGGACTGAAGTAAGTACTCCAGGAGCCACAAGGCACTCGAGGTCAAATACTTTATATTTTCCAGATAATACTTCCTCTGTTCTTTATCAGGAAATAGCGTTTGTAGGAAAGCCTTGTCATATATTGTTAACTGATGTCCTAGTTTATTATCATTTATAAATCATAATATCTTTTTGGTGCTATTATAGGTAGTCCTCGGGTTATGATGGCAGTTGGGACTGGGAACTCTGTCACTAAGTGACATGGTCATAAAGTGCAACATCAGGTGACCATATTGCTTAGCAACAGCAATTCCAGCAATGCCGGTTGCCATCATTAAACGAGAACTGTGTGGGTTGTTAAGCAAAGACCTCATGAGATACCAACTTCTGACTTCCTACTGGCTTTCCCATTCACTTTGCATATTGGAAGCTGGTAGGGAACATTGGAAATCATGATCACGTGACTGCAGCTTGCTGCAACGTTGTGATCACAAGCTGTGCACTGAGCACCCAGATCGCAATCACATGACGGTGGGGATGCTGTGATGGCCAGAACTTTGAGGACCCCACACTGTAAGTCCCCCTCATTCAGCACTGTCATAACTTTGAATGGCCACTGAACAAATGGTCATAACGCGAGGACTACCTGTATGTACCTTTCCTATCTGCCCCTCTGTGTAAGATAAAACTACAAGATGCTCCTCTCTTTACATCTTCTACCTTCTCTTACTCTTTGTCCGCATGTTTTCCTCCCCTCTTCTTCCTTTTCTTCTTTTTTCCCCTTTTCTTCCTGTTTAAAAAGTTCGTGTTTTTTCACTGTGGCTAAATAATATTTCCTGTACATTTTGTCTCATTTCAACCTTTTGTTGAAGTAATGGATGATTACATTTCCAATTTGTTAGTTATTATTGTAATGACAGATGAATTCTAATTTTAATTTAAATACTTTACATTGGAAAATGCCCTGTAACTAATCCAAAGCATAAGCTGAGAGCCTTTTTAAAAAGGGAGAATATTGCTGTATGATAAAATCTTCCTAAATCCAGCCCAATGGTTCTTTGTAAAAAGTAGTCGCTTTCCATTTTGTGCCACAAGGTGGCAATACTGTCAATTTTCCAAACAAAAAAGAAAATGGGGAAAATTACAAATGAAACCTGCATGGCTCCTTTATTACTAATATTGTTTATTAGGTTTCTGCCCAATGGTTCCTTGTAAAAAGTAGTCGCTTTCCATTTTGTGCCACAAGGTGGCAATACTGATCCATTTTTCTGTCAATTTTCCAAACAAAAAAGAAAATGGGGAAAATTACAAATGAAACCTGCATGGCTCCTTTATTACTAATATTGTTTATTAGGTTTCTCTGGTTCTTGTTCCAAGCACTTTCATTTGCCACTGAAGTACATAGTGAGAAATATTTAACCCCTGTATCTGAGAGATAGATGCTCCTATGAAAGTGTTAAGTCTCATGTCAAGTTTATTAGTTTTACATCCTGTCTTTCCTTGAGGAGCTCAAGTCAGTTTATATGAGAAACTCCCATTCATTCTATGCCCCAAACAATGACCCTATGAGGTACCCAGGGCTGTGAGAGAATGTGACTAGCTTAAAGTTGCCAGAGAGATTCCATGGCAGAGAGTGAACCTGAAGGTGGGAGTCCATGCCCTCCTCCAACACCATAACCAGGGCACCAATTTGGCTCTTTTCTTTCCAGAATCTACCTAGCTCAATACGATGGAGCACCTAATTTGTGTATGCTGTTGTTCCTTTATTGTTTTATGTTTTTATGCTGTTTTTAATTATTGTTAGCTACCCAGAGTCATGAATTTGTGGTGGGCAGCCATATCGAATGAATGAATGAATGAATGAATGAATGAATGAATGAATGAATGAATGAATGATTCTTGCTTTTTATAAAAGAGTGATTATTTTATTTATTATTCATAAAATCAGGAATATTATTTTATGGAAGGCAACAGTCACAAGGACAGAATAGTGAGACTGTAGTTTGAAGTAGATAGACTGTCAACATTAAGCCAAGAGCAAAGAAACATGGCTTACATATTGCACTGTTGTCCTGTCTGCATCAATTATTTGATGAACATCCAAAAATCTGCCACTTTAACACTTCAACAGCCTGGAAAGGTCTACTGAAAAACAAACCCCACTGGTCTCACTGATATAGGTTTTTCATGATCATTTCTTGTAGTGTGTGTGTTGTTGTTGATGTTGTTGTTGTTGAAGAATACTCCTGAGAATATCATGGACAGCCAAGAAAACAAATGGATCATCAAACCAACCAACCTAGAGTTCTCACCTGAGGCACAAATGACCAGGTTCAAATTATCCTACTTCAGACACATTATGTGAAGATCTAGCTCTCTAGAGAAGGCTCTAATTCTGAAAGAAAAGAGAAGGCTCTAAAGGAGGAAGAAAAGAGAAGAAGAGGATGACCAGCAGCAAGATGGATGGACCCAGCTACAGTAACAATGGGTGCACATTAGAAGACCTGAAGGAAAGGTTAGAGGCAGATCATTATGGAGAAAATCTATGTGGTTGCTAAGAGTTGATGCTGGTTTGATGGCACATAATCATCAGTCAAGCTTCCAGCAAGATCCTCTCTAACCTTCTCTCCTTTTATTTTATCTTTCTCTCACTGGAAGCATGCAGTAGCATTAATGCGCTAAGGACACCTATTTTTTGTTTGCCTCTTCTTTTATTTTGCCTTGCCAGCAGTAACATCAATGCATGATGCTGAATAATCAGTCCCTGCTGTACTTCTCAGCAGTCCCAAGATCTTTGGAGGAATCCAATTTCAAATCCAGGGTCACAGTGATTGTTTCTCTTTCCTGTGGTTTAATTCCTGCAAGTGAAACAAGCAAGGGAGTAAGTCCCACTGAATTCAGTTTGATTTATTTGTGAGTACAAATCCATAGGATTATACTTTTTGGAATGAACTGTTCAGGAGTTGAGGAAATGATGTACATCCAGAGATTGTTAAACTAACTTCTATTCTCCAGAGATAGAATAATCAATGGTTAGAAAACCTTAATGCAACTGAAATCCCACCATGTTCATGAAACCATTTGGTGTCTTTCACTATGAGCCACTTACAGTAGTAATAAGGAATGTTTATGCTTAAAGAACAAACCAAACTCTGAAATGGCAGGCAGGGAGATTGTCCATGGAAGTCTTCTTCTCAACATGAGGAAAATTAGGATACCCAGTTGCCAAAAAAACAGAACAGAACAAAACAATCCTTCCCTCTCCAGATAGGGCTTCTAAATCTTTGAAAATTTTGTGGAAAATGGAATTTCAGCAGATGTAGCCCTTGTTAAGATTCCCTTTTAGGCCATCTTATGCAAAGTGGCTGCTTGCAGCCACAGGTAAAATAATAAAGACATCTTGGAATTGAGACATACCTGGTGTCTACTTTGACACAATCATGCAGGTTTTCTGGCAATAGTATGGAAATGGCTTGTAATTTCCTTCTTCTGGGATAGTTTTTAACTTCCCAGTTAAGCTTACTACTCTGATATTCCCTGTTGGTCTCCAACCACTAACCCAGTCCAATGCTGGCTAGCTTACAAACTCAGGTGCTGCTACCTGCTGAGACCCAAACATAGAAAAACAAAGAATATAGGATTCTGTTTAGTTAAGCCAACCAGATACCCTTGACAGATAGATGGTAGAGATGAGCTGAGAATAGATAAGAAGAATAGCTTGACTTAGAGATCTTGCTCAGCCCAGTTAAGTGAAACTATCTAAAGAACAGATTACTTTGAATGGGAACATAAAAAGTTGAATTCAGGGCTGCATGGTCTTCAATTTACTCTGGAAGTGGAGTAGCAAAGAGTGATGTTTCTCTCTCAGTTCAGAAATTACTTAATATCCAAAGCCCATCAAATTATTTTGGCATCTGATGCAGAAAAGCACCTGTTCCTGTCCCAAGCTATAAAAATAAATTAATAAATTAAAAGAACAATTTGCCGCCCTTTTGCAACAATTGTCACAGTGTGTGGCAATGCCTAGCTGATCTTGGCTGACCTCAGAAAGTTAAACAGGGCTGATACCAAGTTAATGTTTGAATGGGAGATGATCAAAAAATCTCAGAACTCTCAGCTAAACTGAAAACTTGAAAAAAAATCCTGAAAAAATTATCTTTTTTTGCCAAGAAAATAACATAGATGTGTCAATGTAGTTACCAAAAATTGCAGGACCCTTGACCTTTACCTACCTCACTAGAGTGTCTTTACTGTGTGGGAGGTCTTTTTTTTCCAAACTATACTTTTCTGTGGATGAGGGTCAGAGATAATCTGGGACTGATGCAATAAAATCACAGGGCATGAATGGATGTTTTTGGCCTTTCCCCACGCTTTTGTGATTAGGGATATTAAATTTTAATGGATACATTAACTGTTGTAGAGGCTTGACAAAACTATTTTAATAGTTATTCCGCTGAAAATCAGCATAAGATCACAGGTCAATTTCTTGGCAGTTTGTAATTGAATTTTACCAGATCAACACTGGGAGGCTCTAGGAGCCAAAAAAGAGGGTTTGGGGAACCAGAAGAATTCATGAACTGTGGATTTTCCAGCCCAATTCTATCTAACAGCAGAACAGGAACCAAATGAATCAAATGACATCAATAGAATCCTTTGAAACCTCCAATAAACTCCAATAAGTTCTAACTGCCCCCAGGAGAAAATTGAGATAAATTCTCAAACATTAGAAAAAAGTAGAAAAAACAGAAGTCTATTTCACAGAGGAAAAAAACTTCTGAATTTTTCTGGTCTTCTTACTCTGTGTTCCAGCCCCTTTCTTCCTCTACTGTTGTCTTCTTCTGCCATTATTTCTCTCTATTATTCACCCTCATGGTACATCTGGAACTCATGCAAGCCATCAGCTGTCTTCCCAGGTTTGACGGCCCCTTGTTTCTATTATTTCCAGTTTCCCTGCTGTGCCAGAATGAACAGAATAGAACTATGATCAAATGAACTAACAAAAATGCTAAGTGCTTGAAATTTTGTTTAAAGACATTCCTTAAAGACATTCCTTCCAAAATGGACATACTGTATTTCAGCTCGTTTGAAGTTGTCAAGTCCATTCCAGAGGAAATCCTAGAATATTCAACAATATGTATCTTTCCATCACTTTGAAGCCCTAGCTGCTCACACTTCCTAATCATGCTATCTCCCCTAGGATTTAATTGAAGCAGAAGCTAGGGAGGCTGCAGACCACTGGAGAAATGATTACACAAAGACATGCCATTTATGCCCATATCTTATGCAGATACATGCCGATTTCTTAGAAAGTCTTACAGTACGGCCAAGAAGCTGACATCTAGCAGTTAACCTATTTTAATATTTTTTAATAACCGTTAATTTTCTTAGTAGGAAAAAGCTTATTGATATTATGTATCACATCATCCCTAATGCAGGTTTTAGATAAGTCTTCCCCACCCTAGCATCTTCCAGCTACATTACCCATCACATCAAGCTAGCCAACCATCTGGCTGGTGCTGTCAGGAAAGCAGAACAACAGTTAGAAGAAGGGCCATACTGGAGAATGATGGAGCCAAAGGTAGATATCAGCACAGAGTCTCAACAAAACACTTTATTTATTTATTAATCAAATTGGTATGGCTGACCATCTCACAAAAAGCAACTCTGGGCAGCGTACAACAGTCCAATAAAACAATGCATATATAAAACAATCAGTATAAAAATATAAGAATCAATAATCAATATCTGTGGCTCCTGCCCTCTGGAATAGCCTGCCCCCTGAGGTGAGATTGGCCCCCGCTCTGTTGGCCTTCCGAAAGGATGTTAAGACTTGCATGGGGACCCAGTGGGGGTTCGCGGCACTGGGCGTGGCTGGTAGCCTGAGGATGCTGTCTCCACTTTTTTAGTTGGCATTGTAGTTTTAACTTTTTAGTTTAATTTTAACCTTTTCCAGTTTTTAACTTATTTTTTTTTCTAGGATTTTCTAGTTTTTTATCTGTTACACTGCCTAGAGTCACTTGTATAGTGAGATGGGCGGCATATATAAATTTGAAAATAAATAAATAAAGAATACAAATATTAAAATATAAATAATAAATATATACAAACCCTAGGCAGAGAGAGAATATGAATAGCCACCTCAGCAATGGAGTCATCTAAGCATGTCTCCAGTTCCCTGGGAGACCCAGGCCTGGTGATATCACCAGGTCTTGAGGGACTTCCAGAATGACAGAAGGGATGGACCTAATCTAATTTCGGGGGGGGGGGATAATGTTCCATAAGGCGGGTGCCATGGCCCAAAAGACCCATCACCTGAGACCCACCAAATGTATGTCCCTAGCTGATGGTACCCGTAGCATGCCTTCTCTGCCAGATCTAATAGGGTGGCCTGATGTAATTGAGGAGAGGCTGTCCTTCAGATAAGCCAGTCCCATGCCATGAAGGGCTTTAAAGGTTAAAACCAGCACCTTGAATTGGACCCAGAAGCAAACTTCCTTTTCATTGCTGATCTTTCCAACATCATTTCCTGACCTTGAGATAAAAGAATATGTTAGAGATTCACTTGCTAGTATTATCCAGAACTCAATGATAGAGCCCAAGGTCTGGAATTTGGAAACATTAGCAAGAGCTGTAAAAAAGGGTTTAGATTTGTTGTTCATCTGCCCTTAGTAATGTAATGTAACTTTGCATTTCAGCCCTTAGCAAAGGAAAGAAAGCCAGCGATATTTTGGATATCATCTCTAAACGAACTCCCTTCAGGTCAAAGTTCCATGATTGTGGCAGCTTTTCATTACATATCTTTCAGTAACCCTACAGATTATAAAGGCTGAGCAGATTATCCCTTTTCATGCAAGATACTGCAAACAATTTGATAGTTTAGCATTTGGGAAAGCTTAGTCCAGAGAGATTCAATTAATTTTTCATATGCCCAAAAACAGGTTCAAGATGTTCCTTCTCAACTTGAACCAAAGATCTCAGCTCCTATCTAGATCTAGATCAATAAGCAGCAGCTGACTTCAAAAGTGTCAAAGTCATAATTAGCATCATGTGTGCTCACTAATGCAGATATATTGGAATCTTGCAGAAATTGAACCCTAGGAGTGTTTCAGTGTAGCTTCCATCGTGTTACGCCAGTGTTGGAAAGCATGTTCAGAACATGACTTCCTCCCACTTTGAAATAAGTGGAAGAATTTTAAAAGAAATAGGTCTGACTCCTGTGTAATCCTCCACCATGCAGAATCTCTAGTAATACCATTTTTTAAAATTGTAGGCATAGTGTGATGGAATGGACTTATGAAGGCCATGCTCAGGGAGATAAGTGTGTTCTTAGCCCCCA